AACTCTTTGGACTCCAGAGGATTTACTGAACTTTGGGATTGAGTGTGCAGACTCTGACACAGATGGTTAATCAAGAACTTCCTGAACGCTTTCCAAGACAGGCACTTAAAAAACCTGGTTAGAGACAGGAGACAGTACAACAAAAGATTTGATAGTAACTGATAGAAAATTGAAAATCTTGAAAATTGTCTTGCATAATGCCTTCTAAGCTTGATTAAGAAAGCCCTATCACAATAGAAATGCAACGTAGGTACTGCCGCAGAAAAAGGCTGAAACAATGTAGTTATACACAGTTGAGGAAAATATTGTCCAGCCTATTATGAGCTGAAGAAGAGGAATCTGGAATGTCCCTGACTTCACAAGAACAAAGAAATATTCATGCTGATGGTAAGAGGTAAAGCCTCCAGAAATAAGCAGTTTTTAAAAAGCAGCAGCAGTAGCAAAACACTTATTCCAGTTAGAGCAAGCTAGGGCCAATATAAATACATGTCAAGAACCCACTGGGGTCCTGAAACCAATGGGTCTAATTCTTGTTATGCTACTTGATCCTGCATCAAGCCTGTGGTTATATTAGATGGGCTCTGAGGTCCCTAGTAACTTTATGATTCTTGATTGCTGTGGCTTGATTTGCTGTTGTGTTTTTCTTTTTGTTTACTCTTAGCTATTCATCAATTTCCTGATTTTGATCTCTGACTGTTTACAGATTACTGGGTTCCAACTACTTTCTAACTGCAAACTCCAATCTTGTGTATGCTTATGAAGTTTTATTGAAATGTTAAAAACATCTATCTCTATCCCTTATTTCAGTAATACTAAAATTTGTCATTTTGCTTGGTTATTCTATAAAATGAAGTGAACCTGACTTGATACCAACAATTCTTAGCAAAATTTTTTGGATGTATTTAGATCAAAATGTGGCCGTGCAGACAATCTTGGATGCCCCAAGAATGGCACAAATAACACCTTTACTGTGTGAGCTGCATTGGGTCCCAGTTTGCTTCTGGGTCCAATTCAAAGTGTTGGTTATTACCTTTAAAGCCCTACGTGGCATGGGTCCAGGTTACCTGAGGGACTGTCTCACCCCCATCACATCAACCCGTCCCACCCGGTCAGGCAGAGAGGGCAGTTTGCAGACCCCATCAGTGAGAGAATGTCGGCTGGTGGAGCCGAGGATGCCATTGCCCCCACCCTTTGGAATATTCTCCCCCCAGAGGTGCGGCAGGGCCCTATCCTCCTGGCTTCTGGAAAGGATTAAAGACCTGGCTTTGCCAGCTTGCGTGGGGTGATAACAATCTTACCCAATCCTGGGGGTGGATGGTGCCTTGTTAACGTTCCCTGAGTGCTGCCAATTTTATATCTATCCTTGGATCTATTTATTTTCTAAGATTATTGTATATTGTAATTTTAATTGATTTTAACTGTTTTGTAAACTGCCCAGAC